GGGGGGGTGAGGGGTCAGAGCAGCCCTCTCCTCAGAGCTCCGGGGCGCTCGGGGCGCTCTGGTATTCGCAAGCGTACGACCCGATGTCTCGCGTCAAAAAGCCCAAGCATTCAACGTTGCCTCGCGGAAGGTTTTCTTCTTGGAAAATTCATGTGAAATAAAAAAGAATGTGATTCAGGAAGGGAAGCCAGACAGCAGGACAGCAATAAAAAAGTGAAATTCATATCTTGCCTGAGTGATTTGCACTTCAATAGTTGTGAAAGAAAATTTATGGGACTCCAGTGCTTTTGTGTTCAATTTCTAGCCCCTTTCGTACCTCCTTTATACAAGCAAGTGTTGAACTGTACACGGGGTGTTTACAAGACACTCTGTTTGGGTTGTTATTTTTCTTGTGGGGTTTTTTTTTTTGCTTTAGCTTGAAATCTGTATGGTCCATTTGTTAAATAGACGTGAACAGTTGATGTACAGTACTTACTAAACAAGCAGCAGCACAAAACTTATTTTATTAAGAAAATACGGCTTATATTTTAAAGGTTGAATATCAATTTTTTTTGGTTTTGTATGCGTGGAATTAAGACTGGTAAAGAGTAACAAAACCCTTGGATTAGGCCAGAAGAAGATACTGTAAGATCATAACCACCTCTTTATTAAAGAAAATGGTATGATTAAAGAGCTCCAGAACATTGTATTTATATTTGATTTGATTGCCTTTGTGGATTTTTTTTTTTTTTTTTTTGCCTTGGTCCTGATTTTTTGCTTGCAACTTTGACTTTGCAGTCCCAAGTGTCTGTTACCCTGTAACTGTTGGCAGAAGACCTAAATAAAAGCAATGTGAACATGTTGGGGTGACGCTCCTGAGTCAGATCGCATGGGGAAGGTATGCGCGCAGTCCTGGCTGCTCGCTCGAGAAGGGCTTGGGGAGAACTGGTGAAACGCTGACTGGAGCTGACTTGCATCAGATACTGTGGAGGATCCAAACCCCCTCACTTTCCAGATTTCAATTTAACGAGAAGAACACTTGAGCAAACCAATATGTGCTGAAAACTTCTTGGAATAGGCTAGCCAATTCCACTTTTTATTAAAATGTCACTTGTCAGGGAACTGAGTTGATTTGAGCTCCTTGGGTGCATCAGGATACACTGCTTCTCCAGCTGCATCCTGTGCTTGGGGGGCTAGAAAGGGCCGTGGCTCCCAGCTGCTTTAAGGACAGATTTCACATTCCTTTCAGCTTGAGGTTAAACTCTGCGTTTTCTGTACCGTGTCATCTTTTACATTTCCCAGCTTTGGAATTCCTTGCGAATGTCGTAGCCCTCTCCAAAGCCAAGAGCTTATGGTTGTGTCTTGGGGCCCAAAACTGGAGGTTGTTTGCCATCCTCTGAATGCTTGTGCTTTACCTCGCAAACGTGTATTGACAGACCTTTAGATGATGAATTATTTAGCGGTTGAGCTTTAACTGGATTTTTGAATAATGCCAAGCAATTTTAAGGAAGCGCGTGCTAATGGCAGGCATGTACTCGCTAGCTAATTTACTTAACTGTAGCCTGCAGAAGGTGTTGTCTTGAAGGGAGCATTTGTACAGACTGCACACCCTCCTGCTGGTTTTAAGGTTTTATCACTTTTGTAAAATGAGTCCTACTCTCTAATAGAAATCTTCTTTGGCAGTTTCAGGGGGTCTGTTCCCGTGAGAAGGGTATAACAGAAAATTGTGCCTCATGCAGCTGGGTCTGAAGTTCTGGAAAACAGGTCGGACTCTTTGGTTTCAAATGTTAGGTTGGCATTCGAGCCCTGGCCCTTGGTTCTGGTTACAGTGGCTGCGCTGCAGCGCCAGAAGCGCCTGGATGGCTCCAAGGTGCGGGCGCTTCGTGGAGGTGTCCCCCTCCGCCATATCTGCTTGATCTTGGAGATCGTGTTTCCCCTTCCCTCTCAGGATTTCAATTAAGGAAATAATTAGTAGTTTACTGTTAATTTGCATGGTTTTAGAGCCCTTACTACATAGCTTACCTGATAGCTAAATTTACACTTTGAAGACTACTTTAGCTGGCAGATCCCAGGATGGTCATTCTTAATGATTCCAAAATCTGGATTATGAATCTCAAACTCCTCTTCTGCTGGCCCAAGGTTCCAGCTCTTCACTTACAGCCGTTTATCTGGGGAAGT